CGCCCCACCCGCCCCGCCAGGCACGCCGTTGCCGGCGCGTAACTGCTACAATAAGTGGCACACTAAGCTGTACTCACGCTGCCAAGGCGAAGGGAGGAGGCGCGCCGGGCCGCAGCAGGCTGGTGGAGGCGGCGACGAACATGAGGAGGCCGTGCAGGCCCAGTCTGCCGAGGTCCGCGCCGAGGAGGTCCGGCCGAGCCCCGGGCCGAGGCCCGCCGAGCCCGTGCCACGCCGCCATGCTGGCTGGCTGGCCTGGCCTGCTGGCCTGGCCTGGCTGCACGCCTGGCCCTGGCCGAGGCCACCCCGGGCGGGGCCGAGGGCGGGGCCAAACACTAGGTCACTCTCCGCACCATGGCGGTGCGCCCGCGGGCAGGGTCGGGTCGGGCTGGGTCGGGCAGGGTCGCCAGAGTCGCGGTGTGGCAGGGCAGGCAGCGGCGTGGTGGCGCGGCCGCTGTGCCTGGGAGACTGAGCTCGAGCCTGAGCCACCACCGTGGGCACCACCGTGGGCACCACCCACCCCAGCCAACAGGGGGCCGGGGCCGCGGCTGGGCTGGGCCGGGCCGGGCCGGGCCCGCGGGCCAGAGGGGGGCACGGCAAGGGCCAAGCCAGCTCGCGGCGCCAGCGCGCAGGCGCGGCCCCCCGTCGCCCGCCAGCGCCCCGCGCCGTTCCCTGCTGCTGCCTGCTGGTCCTGCTGCAGGGGGGCCTGGCTCCTGCCGCCCTGCTGTCGCCGCATCACTGGCTCCTGCTAGCTCCTATGCAAGGTCCACGCTGCTGCCGCTGGTCCTGCTGCGGGGGGTCCCCAGCTCCCGACAGCAGGACGAGCAGCTGAGTGAGCTCCCGAACCTGTCGGCCACTGGTCATGTGGTCATGCTTACGGGGGGCCCCGCATCCCTGGCGGCTGGTCCTCCTGAAGGGCCCACCTCCAGCCGCCTTGCTGTAGCCACATCACTTGCTCCCGCTTGCTCCAGTACACGGTCTCTGGCCTGCTGCAAGACAGCGCCAAATGTGTCGAGTTGCCCGCCTGCCTATCGCAGCACCGGAGGCAGAACTGCATCGACGGCGTGTTTGACACGGCAGTGGTATTACCAGGTTTTAGAGTCCACTCAGACTACAGCTGTACCCAATGACCATTTCAGTTTCGGTGAAAGAAGGTAGAAGAAAAGAATAACCGAAACAGGAAACAGTTGGGCGAGGCGCGAAGAGGGAAGGAGGGTGGGGAGCGATTAGAAGGCAGTGGTTTTCTGGTTTGTTATTCTTTTCGCCTTCTTATCACCTTTACCTGAAATGGTCTACTAAGTGCCATATGGAGCCTTTGCCTTCCCTGTGGCCCAAACTGGCCCCACCCGGACCTCCTCTCTTCACTTTGACCCTACCCTGGAAGTTAAACGTCGACCCTGTGTCGACTGGGGTGGGGGCCAGAAGTTGAAATTCGTAACTCTGGTGGTGTGTACATCCACTCCACCGTTGACAAGCCTTTTATTGACCTGGAGAATCGTCCTCGCGCTCAGCAGGTTGGTTGCTTTACAGACGGCCACTTCACAAAGACTATAGGTACCGTGTTTGGGAGATCGTGGTGTGGCGACAAGAAGTGCCCCAGATTGCGAAGGACGGCCCCTTTTTGTTTATCGGCTCACCCTCGGCCTCACCACTTCCTTCCCCATAGTTATTTACTACTACTACACCGGGGAGCTGGTCGCAAGCGGGCATCGGAGGGAAAAGGGAGATTATGCGGGAAAAGGGGGAAATGGTCGCAAGCGGGCATCTCCGGCTGCGCGGGAGAGGTTGCCTACACCGCATGCACGCGTGCGGGCGGTTTGTCTACTTCATCGAGCTGTGACTCGTCGCCCACACGAGTGCATGCGGTAGAGTCTCACCACAAATGTGGAGGAAACCTCCTTTCCTACTCTCGCCGCGCGGGTCTGACGTCACCGAGTGAACCTCTTCCTCGCGAGCCAGAGTCTATCGGCGTGAGTTAATGTGGCCGACCGTTACCCCCCCCCCCCTCACTATCCCTAACCCTCTCGCCCTCCACACGCCCTCCAGCCTGTACGTTATGGCGCGCGGGGGGCTTTCAATTCAAATGGTGACCCACATATCGGATCGGTGGCCTACTTAATTGAATGGGAAGCGGAAAGCGCCGGATGAATATTGTTTTTCGCTCGGTTTTTCATAACCGCCTTCTCCCTGGTGCTCCCCTTCCCCTCAAAATTATCTCTCTTTACTGCCCCCCCC